AAAAATCAGCTGAATTCTATGTCAAACAAGAAGTTAACTTAAAGAAATCTTTTATCGCTGTATCAATTTAAACTCTGTTTAATTTTTAATTCAGTTTGGAAATGTAAATTCAATAAAAACTTAATGTTTAACCTTAACAATCCTCAATCCTCCAACAGGTGAAGGATTGAGGACTGTTAGGGTTAAGGTGTTCACTTTTGCTGTTCTATATTGATGTAACAGTTACCGATAATTTTCAGTATTTGGCAAAGGTAAACTTTAAGTGAACTTTATTAAATCGTTTTCCCAGTAACAACATTGAAGTGCATGCTGGCGATTACAACTACAGACATCTTGAAACCATCTTCTTATCTAAGATGTTATAGCGGCGTCATCATATCTCCTTTATATCAGAGGTATATTAAGCATTATTTTCATGTGTAGAAGTGAATGTAATGTTAGAAATAATTGCGACGAAAAGGGTACTTCTAAAGGTTCAATCGAATTGTCACCTCATATTAGGCATGCGCCCCCTACTGAATAGAATGAAAATTCCACCCCAAACTCGCATTCCCTTTTTTTCACCGGCAACCAGCCCCGTCTGACACGGTCAAACCGGCGAGGTAATTCGCATCCCTTTCTCAGCCCACTCCCAGCCGGTGAAAAAAGGTGAATGTTGATTGTCCAATTTCATACCTACGTTTTCATTTCTTCAAAACCTGCGTAAGGATATGGACACAACACAAATTTTGTACACGTGCCCCACCGTGCTTACTGTCAAAAGAGCCGCTAGTGTAAGGTTGTGTTATTTTGAATGTGTGGGTGTGTGTGGGGGGGAGCACACGGGGGCAGAGGGTTCAAGTGGGAGTGGGAAGGAGTCCCCGTTTCCCATTATATATTTACGCTAATGTCTAGAAGTGCCCATTTAGTTATGATTAGAACTTTTGCGCAACGTTGACACAATACGTCACCATGCACTTTACGGGTAACATTCCGGGCTTTCTGAACATTTAAGGGATATTCAATTCACTTGCAAGTTGCTCTCCAGAAAATAATTCCAATGTTAAAATTGATGGCGATGGCAGACTAGGACGGGTGACGGCCCGACACGACTGGCAAAAGGAGGGACGAAGATAGAAGGACGAGACGTGCGACGCCGATCACCTGACACGAGGGACGGCCGAGGCACAATGGGTTGTATGAATGAAAACTTGCAAATACTATGAAACAGTTGGTGACTTGCCCCTGACCCACGATAAATATTGTTGAACGTCTCAGCTTCTTCCACTTTAACAGCCTTTTCATTTGGGTATGAACAAGAACTTTGCACATCCAATGTGCCTGCACGAAAGAAATTACGAACGTTCACTTTCAAACGGTTTTATAGTTATTCACACTGGCTTTTGTAGCCAAAGGTTAAAAACAGGCCACAGGGAAAGTCCCAAAACGAGTGACCTGCAAGATAATCAGGCTGTGCATCGTTCTGCGTTGCTCTCCGCACCCAAACACCGCACGTGTGATCTGGAGAAAGGCGAAAGCTGATTGGTTAGCATTTCTTCGTTCATCATACCTTGCCTTATATAGTCACAAAACTGGCCCCAAGATATCATATGCCCCTCCTTTTTGCACGCAAGTGGTTTCCACAAGTTTTTCAGAATGCCCTTTGACGTCAGGAAAGGTGAAATATCACCATAGAAACACGACACGACAAAGCACATTAGCTATACAAACGTCAATGCCTGATAAACCTCATTTGCATGGGCACGTGATCGCAATGACGTCACCAGAATGCTTCTAACAGCGCAACAGATATACATGTATTCACAACAATTACCACAAACTGTCGCAAGTCACAGTCGATAGACACACTCGGTTCGGCAGACAATAAGCCAAGTCGACACAGGTCAAAGTCTACAGATTGTCTGCGATCGGCTTCAGACGTGTCATATCGTTGTCTGTGCCCACGCAACAGTGAGCTACCAGCGACCAGCGGCAGTGGGTGCGGCTGGGCACTCGCTCCATTTCTACCACCTTTGGCTGAGCAGACGGTTGGGTTGGTGTACGACTGATCAACATTAAGGTAAGCCCGTGTTGAAATTACACGACCGACCTATAAGACGGCAATTAATGGTTGCCGTTTAAGACTGATGATTACGAGGATTCCTTTCTGGCAATCATGGGATCACTAAAACGATGTCAACACGCAAGATTAAACACACTACCAACTCCACACATCGATGAGATTTGGGGTTGAATCATGGTCGCGGCACTCATCAAGTTCTTTTGACCATTTTCAGTGTAGCAGTCAGACCTGCTACAGGCGGTGGATGAGGGAGTTCGATTCACCAATTATTAAAGTATCCAGCTTACCGACTTTAACAGGATTCGAACTAAACAAACCTGTCTCGGTTTGCTCTTAATTGGTTGATGTTTTACTGAGATGATTTCGGCCTATAGCATGAAGATAGAACCCGATCGAAGCAAAAAGGACGAACCCCCTCAAATTTAGAAATGAAAAAAAATATTTGAGTAATCAGACAATATGGACCCTATTATTCACTCCACTATCCAACATTTTCAGTCTCACCTTATGTTGTCAAAACGGCGTAGTTACTCTGCACGTAGGCCTGAGTTGAAACGTGCTGTATGGGTCGGAGGCGATAATATTATTTAAATCATGCATGAGAATTGTTAACCTCACAGGGAAATCCCCAGTCCCCTGCAATTTTGTACACCTTGATAATTCCAAAATATCAATAGTAGGCCTATGTAGGGTATGTCGACACAGTTACAAACGACAATGAAAAATGCCACAATACGAACGCTGATTCGTTGGATAAAGGTTTCAAGTGGAACATTTGGTACGCTTCTCTCTTCAGCCGTGGGACCGGGGTCTGATTAAGTGTTCTGATTTTGTGCCCTGTGTCAGAAAAGTGATGAAAAGTCTGATTTAAATATCCCCCAAATTATCTTTTTTTCTCTTGAAAAAAAAAGGTTAGTGTTGCCAATTCTGATCAATTTCTACTGAAAATAAGACTTCCCGGTTATAAACAGGAGATTTATATAAGGTAAAAGACTGTCCACATCGGTTGCCTGCAAAAATTCGTAATCCGCCAAATAAAACAATCTGTAAAATAAGTTTGAATTTGAACCAAGTTTTTGCGCAAGTAGTGAAGATCCTGACAATTTGTAACGGAAAAATCCGTCACATATCTAATTTATAATGTATAATTAAAATGAAGACTCAATCAGCCTAGCTTTGGGCGTTCCACAAGACAATAAAACATATACAATCTTTCACATACAAATAAAACAAACTTACACAAAGAAAGTGAGTTTACGATCGGCGCACCCCTTAAACATCACAATTACAAAGGCTGCACAAACCGTGAACGCTTCCAGCAAAAGCAATATGAAAAACATGATACCCACTGCCTGTCAAGATCTATCTTGATGTGTCCCCGGCCAAGCTGTTGGAAAATGCCTCCCTGATCAATTGTACCCTAGTAAATCAAAGAGCTAACAAAGGGCTCCGATGGGCTTGGAGCTAGAGCCACTAGGGCCTTGCTACATTAATATGTTCATGCCTCCCGCTCTAGTAGTTCAATAGTAAAGAAATAATGAAGACGGTTGCATGGCCATTCAGCTCTCAATTGTAGGCAAGTATCAAGAATGCAGTCAAACCAAATTCAGATACATTTCAGGNTTTTTCCCTTTGAAACAGGTCAATCCGTGAGGTACCCGATTGCTACACTGTTTGGCCGTGCAGCAGAAACTGCAGTTCACCATGAAACTCTTGGAAGTTGTCCTCTTTCTGAGTTTTATTGGTAACGTCCGCTTACATTAATTTGTCCAAACCTGCTCTAAAACACATAAATAAAACGCCTATACTCCTTTACACACATCAGTTTATTGCAAAACAGAAAAAGGGCATTCTTACCAAAGTCAATAAGCCAACGTACACGCTACCCTCATAAAATATACATAAAACTCAAAACCGTTCATACAAACAATGCAGTGTGTCATCATGAACTTAGAACTATATGCGTAGTAGGTTATATATCATTATTTGCTATTTGGTTATTTCCGTCTATTCCAGGAGGCATCATGGGCCTCTCCTGCTATGATTGCAGCTTTACTGAGAGCTGCTCCGATCCATTCACACCCAGTGACTCCCTGAAAAAAACCTGTTCGTCTCTGGACGGTGCCTGCTACGTAAGTGAATTATTTAACCAAGACCCACTTCGATGATATATGCCATTGAGATGGCTATCCTTTTCTTTTCAGGAAAAAATACCCAAAAAACAAAAGTAACATTTAACAGAAAGCAGCAATAAAGGCTATCGAAACATGCCCCTGAAAGTAAACTCAGAATAAGCCAGCTGTTTGAGGAACATGGTCCATGTAGGTACAAGCCAGTTATAAATGTAGTCGAAAGGAACACGGGTTATTCTTAATAGTGCGCCAGAAAGAGTTTGATTGGCCAATCACAACGCGTGTAATCTGTCGACCCTTTCAAAAATGCGCATTGGATCGATAGATCCAATGACAGATTTCGCTCACTGTGATTGGCCAACACGTTGCTCTGCAAACTCTTGATGGCGCACTACTGTGAATCAGCCGTATTAAACAACTCGAAATATGAACCAAATCAAGGGAGAATGAGTACCAAAAGCTAAGTAACAGGCACAGGAACCTTTAACCCGCTTGTAATCTAATAGTTCCGCTTTATTTCTGAGCTCCCACATAGGTAATATGTCTTACTCATTCTCACCTTTTTTAAAAATATGTAATGGCCCTTTTTCGGAAATGTTCGCTCCACAGGATGCTTCAAGTAGGTAACTCCCAGATAACGAATCGGTACAATCAATTAGGTATTCAATGTTGTCTTATACGGCAGTAGGGTCAAGATGGGACGCCCCGTCAGCCGCTCTTTAGTATTTGATTTTTTTTTGGGGGGGTTGGGCTTTTTTTTGCTTTGTTTTGTTCTTGATTGGTTACTGTACAACATAAAAAGCCTGAAAATATCACTAAAAATATGCCTTGCTTGTACTGCCGGGTGCCCCCTTGTAAATGCTGGATCTGTCATTGTACGGAGCCTTGAAAGTGCCATCAGATTCGTTGAGATCCCTCTTCTCACGATGACGACGTTCTACAGGCAGAATTTGAGGCAACTTATTACGGAGGTTTTACATACTCAGATTAGGATGCCGATGCTGAGCACGCTAAGATGATCCATCATGAATGCAGGCATCCTGTACTGAAATAATGTGTCCACATCCCACTAATTGGCAACATCCTAAAACTCTGCGGATAGCATCCCACTTCCAAGATATTATTATTCCGTAACTACATATATCCAGATATCGACAGGTTGCCTTTCATAACGTCGTCATCCATAAGTAAAACACATCATTTTATATAACAGGTTTTGCCCTTACCCAACGTATATCAGTAAGGTAGTAAGGTAAGGGCAAAACCTGTTATATAAAATTAACATCTCCCCAACGCAAAAATACATCTTGAAAAAAATAAATAAAAATAAAACACATCATGGTCTTTGCTAGTCTGCCATGGCACTTCCTTAGTTCTGCACTAAGTCCATGAGTTTACAATCACCTTACTAGCCTCCTGACAATTACGAACATATATTCACGAGCATCATGGATTTAAAATAAACAGAATTCAAGTCAGCAAAATTGGCCTGATTGTTGAATAGGATGGGGCGGGACGGTTAAATTTCAAGGTTTCTTGTTGTGCCTATGGTCTTACAAATTTCCTTTAGGGGCCAATTTAAAGGACAAGGGCGACGATTTTTGAATGTTGTTTGTCAAGAAGTGTAAACGACATGAACACAGATCAATTATTTCTACACGGTATGGTCATTATGCGATACAAGACTCGGAGGCCCAAACACTTGGGGCATTATAAAATATTAGGTGGGGTATGTCTTCCTATTTGTCCACCCTCCCCTCCCCAAAAGATTGACGTGCATAGCCCAGAGCAGTGAACACAAAGCCACTGAAGTACGATTTTTCTTTTTCAGCAAGGTTAGTCGGTGATATTGTTGGTGGCGCGTCCGAATAATCGTACACAACTATGCGAATGTCGCTACACTGATCTGAAATTTATTCATATCTGTTCGTCCTGCCAATTACAGGATGATAATGGGTGACTAAGACAATGAAGACATACTCAGTTTGAGAGGTGGGAGGAAATCCCGGATAAATGCTTCGGGGAAAACCCACGGACTCAGGCAGAGACGACAAACCCAATCTACGTGTGGACCGATCCGGGTTCGAACCCAGGGCCCCGGAGGTGGAAGGCGAGGAAAGAAACACTACACCAACCTGAATCCCCTAATCTTGTGCTTTATTCTTTCCGTGTTCGCTGCAGAAACTGAAGGCCGAGGGCAGCGGCGTGAGCATAATTCAAAGATCGTGTGTGCCGGCTGCATCATGTTTAATATGAATGACTGTTTCAGCGCCTCGTATCAGGGCGCTACGGCCACGGCTTGTTGCTGCACTGGGAACTACTGTAACGGAGCCAGCTCGCTGGGGGTGACGTCCGTCATGGTCACTGCCGCCGTAGGCCTGGTGGCCATGGCCATAGTGGTGTAAAGACAGAGACACAGATAAGAATCTGCCATGATAGCTTACAGTTTAATCAGCTGCAGCCTATAGAGTGCTTTCGCAAAATTTAGTGTTTCGTAAATCACTGTGCTTTCAAGGGAGCGATCGCGGGCAAATAGCCCACGGAGCGCTCGGCCATTCATGAATTTGTGTCTCCTGTTCGGGTGTATCCTCTGTATGTTAATTCAGTACGCAGGCCAATTTTTGAAGCATGGAACGCTCTATTTCCTAAATGATGCCAAAAAATCACTGCTTTCCGAGAGTCTCATTACACATGCAGATGACACATAGGGAGACCGTGGAAAAATAAATAGTGTGGTAAGAAAATGAAGCAGGAACAATCATAGAAAACAAAGATGCGCCAATAATTACAAAAGGCACATCCTCCTGCCACAGAAGACAACCATGTGAAAAAGGACATTATAAGGATGCACTTCATAAGAACAAATCTAAAACTTCAGACGATGCTTGATAAACATGGCGATCAAAAACCAAAAGTTAAAAAAAATCAAACCAGTTCAAGAGCCTTTTCCTGAAGTGACCTATCGACCCACTCGTACCCTGTAAATCGTGCGTTGTAGACAACTTACGAAACTGGTAAGAGCGATTTGCGAAGTTCATTGACAACAGTTTGGCAGCCCCTTCCCTATAAGCTCGAAAAGCTTTTTACACTGACGTTATGAAACTAACCACACAAAACACAATGAGGGGATATAGCTAAATTGACTGGCAGACAATGACAGGTTGCCAAATTAATTGGTAGATGAGGGGACCCAGCAGTGTTGTAGTCGAGACCGCCACAAGGTTATGCGCAAGACCATACGCAAGACCATTCGCGAGACCAATCCCAACTTCCCTCGGGACGGTGTGAACTATGACAATGAATGCATAATTGAATTCAGACTGGAGGTCTTAACTGGGTTGGTCTTTTTGTGATGACCTTATGGGGTAGGTCCTGTGGACCTCTCAGAGATGTTTCGACTACAACTCTGGTCGATTGGTGGCAGCATACATGACACCAACTGTAAACGGGCACTCTATAAAGGCAGCCTATAGTAGCCACAGAAAAACCTACCCCAATACGCATTCACACTTACCGTAGGGGAAAAGTCTGCTACCTTCGACAGTTAAAACTGCCCTTCTAGTTTGTGCTTGTCATCCACGTTACTGGTTAGCATTTCAACTACAACAAACAAATAAACCGAAAAAACGTTGGTGTTTGAATTAAACAGCTTTTCCATCAGTGTAGTGTGGTCCTAGTCCGGCCTTGTGGATACAAGTGTTCAGTATCCACTGCATGTTTCTGCCACGCAATACAGTTGAAATGGCAAGAGGCATACCCAATTCCTTTCTTCTCTTAACTTGCCTTAGCAAAAGTAAAGAAACAAAAAAAGCAAAAAAAATCTTCTCCTTTAGAGTCTTCGAATTGCATTGCTCAAGGAAAAGGCCTGTTAAAAAAAATAACACTCGTGTAATAAAGCAGCATCATGTAGAAATCGGCTCGTGTGGTATTATGAAGAGTCAAGGCTGAGTAAAATTGCTATGAAGTCTTGAATGCTTGTGAATAGCGTTGAAAATTAAAGGTCTGACATTCATGATGTAGCTATCTCCAATGCACTGGGGTATATAGGTTCGATATAGTGATCAGTAAAGAGGCATGAAGAAAGATACATAAATACGATGGCCTTGATGTGCCAATTTTAAGAAAATCAAAGTGCGGGTTAATTAACTTTTAAGTCGTCCGAAGACTGCCACATCAAAACCAACGAAGTTCTGGTCTCAATACAGAAAAATTTTAATCTTCTAGTAAAAAACTGAAATATGGATTATTATAATAGCTGTCCCAGATCCATTTTGTCTAAATTATAAAGTAAAAATGTATTTGTAATAATCAAACTTTTGTAAATTGAAATCATTTCTACGTTTATGCGATATGTTGCAGATGAGAACGTTACACATGAATAAATGATGACAAACATGTCTTTGTTTTCTCCGAATTTTTTATCAGAAGTGTGTGTTCACTGTAGCAGGGGGGCGCTTTGGTTGCGGTTTCAATTAAACATTGAAATTCCTGGCTTAAAAGTGAAAAGCCTTTATCGGTGAAATCCAATTTCAAAACTTTCAGCTCCAATTTCAAATTCCAAATCAAAGGGGCATGGGGAGGGATAGAGCCTTTGTAACCCTTGGGCGGTTGGCTGCTCTATTTTCACGTACAACACAATTACAAAATTCTACTTGACATTTTACGTGAAATCCTCATTTCTCCATTATAGATTTTGATGTAAAAAACCACTACTGAGAAAATGCTGATTGGAACTAGTTTACAATGATAAGGATAAAGAATCAGGAAAAGATCTTATATAGATAAGATGAAGATGGAAAGCACTACAGTGGAGAATGCTGCACTCCACAGATGACGAAAAACAGTTGAGTCCTTGACGGTGCAAACAATGAGCTGCAGCGGGGACGAAGACCACGTCGAATAAGAATGACCGGGCTCGAGACGAAACGGCGAGGGCGTGATGACCGTCGGAAACAGTATGAGAACTTGATGATCCCACACACCGGAACTGGGTTCAGTTCACAAACTGTCCCTTCCGGAACAAAATTCAGCTCTGCTCTTCACTTGGTCTGGACGAACTTACAAAGTGTCGCTCCACAGACGACTCGCCACCACGGGTTGAAAATGGTGCGGAAGTCAACAAGTCAACTTCTCACAGTCCGCGGACGGTGGAATTGCCTTCCAAATTTCCTTAGCTGTGCGTGTCTCTGTCTCTCTCTCTTTGTCTGCCATAGCTCGTTTTTTAAAGCCTACAAGTCTTCAAGTAATTTCTTCATTTTCATTATGTATGTTTCATGAAATAGACTTTTTAGAATTGCTTAATCTTACAAGAAACCTCCGGAACATACACCAGAAGACTAGAAATAACCGTGGAAGATGTCCTTATGGCTCCGTGAAATAACGTAGTCTTATTTCAGGAAACCTACAGAACGCGCAACTTCAACGTTCTAGACTACAGTGAGGTCATTCACGACATGGCGCACGACGCGATGCGTCGTGCGCTCTCGCCCCTTGCTTCATGGTGTTTATAGAGGGCGCCTTAACTGTTTTCTTTCATTTCCGTCCGCCGTGCCGTGCATAGTAGCCAGGGCACAGTCCACTTATTCAAGCCCTATTGAAAACAGTGTAAAATCAGCACTGTTCAGGGCCCAATAACATGCATACCAACATCCCGTAGATTTCTGAAACACAAATGAAATAATTGTCTAGTCCCTAATCTTTCAATTTCTTTTCAATTTTTTGTGGGTTAACCAACTTACATTTTTTTATTATTCCCGCAAAACAAAATCACCCCCCGAAAAGTGATTTTTCCGAAGTCCGATTGCAGCAATTTTTCCAATAGCAACCCTCGACTTTCTCGGGCACTTAATTATGTCCATTTTTCAACTGTACTTTTTAGCCATTCTGCGGGACCACGCAGTTGATCCTGGCAACGATTTACAAAGTCTCACCATTTTGGGGGCCCAACAATCTCGTGTTTTCAAAAGATGCTGGGGGGCACTTTGAGCTTTCATTTGAGAGCAGAATGGCTAAAAACTACGGTTTAAAAATGGTCCTAAGTGCCCGAGAAAGTTGAGGGTGGCCACTTGAAAAATGGCTGCAATCAGACAGACTTCGGAAAAATCACTTTTCACTTTTTGTTTTGTAGGAATAATTAAAAATGTATAATTGGTTAACCCCCAAAACTGAAAAGAAATTGAAAGATTAGTGACCAGATTGGTGACCAGACAAGAGTTTCATTTGTGTTTCAGAAATCTCAGGGATGTTGGCGTGCATGTTAATTGTTGGGCCCTGAACAGTGCTGATTTTACACTGTTTTCAATGGGGCTTGAATCAGTGGACTGTACCCTGCATGCCAAGCTAGACCGCACGCAACCCGGTCAGAGGTCATGGAAGCGCGATATACACTGTGCAACATAGGAAACACGTGGACAACTGGCTTATGATAGGATTCATGAGTAAGTCAAAGAAAAGCTCCCCATTCTCATATGAAAGTAATTCTAAAATGATTATAAAAGGAATACTAACTTACTTTCCTTGCAGACAAAGATGAACGTACGTCAGAACACCTTCCCTCTGACAAGGCTAATAATATCTAACAAACAGACAGAACTAATGTGGCTGACTGGCCCTCGCTCGCTCATGTCTTCCGAAAGAGAAGAAAGGCGGAGCGCGCGTCTAAAGACGCACAGTGTAAGTTGCTTGAGCCAGTTGTCTAAGGCACGGTTCCCTCACGAGAACATGCAAGCACGATTTGCTCATGCGCTGTGCCTTGTCACAAACGGCTAGTGACCTGCCCCTGACCCCGTACGATAAATACTGTTGATCTTCCCAGCTTGTTCCGCTAGGCCACTACAAGTTCGTTTTTAAATTTGCGAAAGGGTATCAAAGAGAACGTTGCACATCCAATGTCCCAGGAAAGGACTTATCAAAGTTCACTTTCCTAGGGTTTTATTCTTACTCTCATGGACCTTTTGCAGCCAAAACGGCTCGGGAAGGAGCATCCAAAACGAGTAACCTGTAAAATAATCAAGGCTGTTCAATGACTCCCCTTTAATACTCTCCACACCCAAACACATCGTGATCTGAAGGAAAGACAAAAGCTGATTGGTTAGCATTTCTTCGTTCATCATACGTTGCCTACAGTCACAAGGTTGACCCCAATATTATACCGCATTCCGAGCTTTTCACGTGCATCGAGTTTCCATAAGCATTCCAGAATGCCCTTTGATGTCAGAGGTAAAGTCAAAAGGTGAAGTATCACCATAGACACATGAATGACGAAGCACATTAATTTTGCTATGCAAACGTAATGGCAAACCTTATTTGCATGGACACGTGATCCCAATGACGTCACCAGCAGAACACTTAGTCAGTGCTGTGCAACCGTGACATTATTTACCACCGACCTTCGCAACACACTGCCGATCGAAACACTAAGCTCCGCAGACAAGCCAAGTCGACACAGGTTAAAGTCTACAAATTGTCTACGACCGGCTTCAGACGTGTCATATCGTTGTCTGTGCCCACGCAACACGGCTACTAGCGACCAGCCTGAGAGGCACTGCAGTGGGTGCGGCTGAGCACTCGCTCCATTTTAGGCTGAGCAGGCGGTTGGGTTGGTGAACGACTGATCAACGTCAAGGTAAGCCCGTGTCGAATATAATAAATTTGTGCCCCGAAGAAGCTTGTCGGTGGATACCTTTGAGACAGGCAGTATTATTTTTCAATTAGCAGCATGAGAATTGACGTCCTGCGTCTGATTAATCATTTTGATGATGAAATTGCGTCAACGCAAACGATACAAAACACGTTTGGAAACGAGTGCCACTGGATCAGGGTTTTCGAGGATGCCCCAGCCGGCTGCGGCATTCTCAGACCCAATGAATTGTTTATTCTACTCGTACATGCCTTAATCATTGGGCAGAAGACCAGTTGTCGGATCCTGATTTTGGATCAGGTGGGGATGGCTGAAAATGGGAATTTCACTTTGAATGATTATCTGTTTTTCTCCACCAGTACAAGACCCCCCCTCTGCTAATGCGCTAGTGCCGTTCCTAAAAAAAATTGTTGGGGCTTGTATACGTCAACACAAAAGTTGGCAAATTAGTTACTTTTCGAGTTCACGCCATTTTACATTCGGATGAATAAACACAATGAGCACACAGAGTGGCAATTATGTACCAAATGCCAGGCCCAGAAGTGGCGTCTGTGCTGAAGCCGTGTGTTGAAGGGCGTTCCCAATCAAAACAATTTTTGAGAACGAGCTCAACGACATTCCACTTTTTCTAAGGCTACAAAACTGATAGGTTGTTTTGCAGACTGATCTGAAACCGAACTGACCTAGAAATGCCCCAAGAATAAGTCTTTATTCAAATCGTCCTGTCTGTCTGCCATTTAGGGTTGGAGTGCAGAAAGTGAAACCGTGTGGAAATCTTTGTCATCTTACAGTGAATATCTGAACCCTTTCGTTTGACCCGACAATGCCAAAACGCACAACAGACGCCAAACTCACCCAACTGAAATGACCCAAAAGTTGGGTTCAAATTCTGGTTAGTTTCGGTTCGATTTTGCACAACATTCTGTAGCCTTGTCCCAGGCGGTTTACGCGGCTGCTAAACCCCTGCAGAGATCCAGGCCGTACGCACCCAAACCACGGCAAACGACCTGCCATCCGTACGGTACAACGGCGAACCACAACAGATCCCTGTAAACAAACTTACAAACCGAACCACCGCAGACGCGTGTGCGTGTACACACACCCACGTACGGACTGGGGCTAAGCACGCACGTGAGCAAGTTGGGAGTCGCGCAACGGCTTCACCGTCACTCGCAAAGCATAACAGCCCGAGTGCAATGTACCGTACGTGTTAAAAGCAAACCTACTGCAACGACGGGTATTGCGCAACACATCGTGCAATGTTTCCGCCACGCACGCACAGCAGGCTCGACGGCCGGGGTTGTCAAGATCATCGCCCAACGCCTTGATCAAGGCTATACATTCGTCAGCCTGAATATTGATTCCCTGTGGCGCGCTTTGGGGAACTCATGGATAAGAAAAATTACGCTTTACAATGTTAGAATTTCGTTCACTTCTTTAAGATCACATCGGATTAACGGCATTTGTAAAATATTTGCTAGCTTCGAAATTTATAGAAACTGAAAAATACCGGACCTGAAAGAAAACTACTTTGCCAATAATTCGACTTTTAACTTCCGAGAATCTAAAATACACGAAGACCAGTAAAATACAATGGTATCATTCTTGTAAGGTAGCCATTGAGGCTAAAATAAATAATTCAAATTATTTTAAGTCTTTGAAATTTACAAGGAAATAAACTTGAAGGGATATTCTGCGATTACAAATATTCCAAAACTTTATCTTACCGTTGCTGACAAGAACGGCGTCAGATCAAGTCGACGGAATCTAGAAACCATCGACAGCAGGTAGGTAAATATTTGCAGCGTTGTTATAACCTCGTTTACAAACGAACGTGTCTATAGGGAGACCTTGGAACGATACTGTCGGAAGTGAAAGGACTTTTTTTACCCATCTCCGGGTGACTTTTCCAAAATACTACTTGAGGAACACTGAGGTCAAATTCCGACAAGAGTGTTTCTTAGAGTAGCTTCAATTAGGAATGACTCTTCAGAAAAATAAAATCACGTGACAAGACGACCCTTTGTAATTTCCCCGCAGGCGGACCGCGCGAGGATTCCGGAAGCTCGCTTCAGGACCTTTTACTTTCAGGGTCTATTTGTGGCACTTTATCTTTCAGCGGTTGGTAGAAGCGGATCACATTAATAACTTACCTGTGGTTGAAAAAAACTTCGGATTGGTTGCAAGAAATTTATGTTTCTATAAGATTTTCCAAACAAAAGCTTATTCTTTTTCGGAAATAATGTCACTTTGTTCCTAGGATTGCTATCCTGTGTTTGACCGTGTTGCAGTAACTGAAGTTCACCATGAAACTCTTCGAGGTTGTCCTCTTCCTGAGCTTTGTTGGTAATTTTTTATTTTTAATTTTCTCTAATTAATTCCTAATGCAGTTTGCACTTTACAAAACGAGATCCCAAACGGCTTTGAAATTTGTGATAAAGTTTGAACACAATCCACCTGGAGCAGAAGGACCCCTCATCGCTTGAAAAGAGCTATTTTTGTCGGGAGTGTTGATTTTGTTTGTAGCGATGCGACCGTAACGTTTGCATTTCTTAGTCCTTTGTGAACGAAGTGCAGTTTCCACCAAAGGAGCAAACTTGCGCCCTCTCTTGGTCGAGCTCGAGGCGCACTATCCAAAGTCCAAATTGCAATTACTTAACTCCCTATTGTGACAGGATATTTTGAATGATTTTTGCCTTGTCTTGGCCGATTGGTCTATTCTAGGAAATATTATGGGACGAGAGTGCTATGTGTGTGGCCCCGGTTCCAGCTGCTCAGATCCGTTCACGGGCAGCGACTCCCTGAAGCAAACCTGCTCGTCGGAAAAATACTGCTTCGTGAGTGAAGCCCAAATCTCTCTTTTACTTCTCTTGTCTGGTGATGCACAACGGCAATCCGACACTGACAGTTGAAGTAGCTCCGAAAAAGATCGTCAAAGTTACGCCCAATAAATAGTGAAAGTTGAATAATTGGGGTCATTTGTGTGAACAGTTGATGAGAGAGTTTCACTCAACGGCTTCGTGGAAGAAAAGAGCCAAGCACAGTCATAAAAAAACTAAATAATCTTGGCTGCTGGAAGTTTATTCAACCCTGTGTTTTGTCTCAACCTCTCTCTTTAAAGAGTGGCTCTCAAATCAACCATCAAAATGTAGTCCAAGTGTAATAACATTACTTTTTAATGGCCGTCCATGCACATGGGCGATAAAAGAAGGACAAGTGATTTACCCCAGAAATTCTGTTACGGCCCATTAAAAGTCCAACAATAATACATCGACCAATAATGTAACAACATTGGCCAATCATGTAATATCGAGTGATGATGTAGCAAATATTGACCAGTAGTGGGGGGGACTGTTTGGTACAGTTTGACCTTTCGACAAAAATGGCAAAAGGTCACATTAATATTCATAAGTATAATAATAATATGATATTGATATGAATAGGAATGAGGTGTAGGTTGAAAAATGATAGTACAGAATGACCTTTGGTAAGGGATAGGCATAGGATAAGGTCAGAAAGTTTGGTACAGGTTGACCCTGGTGTATGGGAAAATATAGGAATAAGGCCTAGCACGGGGTAAAAATGTTTTGCTTATGAAATTATGGCACAACATGATGAAAGAGGATGAGTCATATAGTGTGTGATGGTATACTGGCTGGCCCACCAGGCAATCCTAAGGTAATCAAGTAGTAGGAAGCGATAATCCCTGCACAATAGACAGCTCGTGCCGCCGGTTAATGAGAGGGATAACCCCTAGATAATGGACTGTATGTAGTGCCTGAGCTGTGTCGGCAGACTATTGTGTTAATGATTACATTGTGTACGTTGCAAGTGAGCGTTGGTCTGACTTAACCGTTGGACACTAAGGAAGAGAGGGCGCCCACATGCTAGCGGTCTTGGGTTTGGCTTACTATGGCTACCGAGATTTGACCGAAACGGGAAGAAGACTCTGTTGTCCCTAGCCGATTTTTTTAATCCTTTGAACTGGAGTGTTTTACGTCCTGTTACCCTTTCTAACCTTATCCTATGCCCATCCCTTACCAAAGGTCATTCTGTACTATATTTTTTTCACCCTACACCTCATTCCTAGTCATATCAATATCATATTACCATTATACTTATGAATATTGATGTCACCTTTTGCCATTTTTGTCGCAAAGGTCAAACTGTACCGAACAGTCCCCCCTCTACTTTGACCGATAATGAATTAAACCCTGCAACTAACAATGTGGTTAAAATTATTCGATAATGAAGTGACTCCAAAATACCTATAATAAGAAAAGACTAAAGACGCCAATATTATAACACCCACAGCTAAGCTAAGCTAATATTTCGAAACATTTGGGGGGACTTAGCCTTTTGTTAGAGTTTTCAGGGCCGATCAGACGTACTTTAATGCATTTTCGTTTCGCCATGAAACAGCCTATCGGTTGTGGAGCTTTTGTTTCTTTTCCACTTTCTTCTTTCTTAAAAAGGAATCACTACAGCAAATTTAAACCTTGAGCAAGATGTGCAAATTTTTTTTATGAGCCTGAGCCTGTTTTTCTCTTTCTTTTTGCATTTCCACGCAGAAAGAAAAGATCGAGTTCCAAGGCACCAGCTCAGTGACCAGATCATGTTCAGACTGTGCTCGGGACGGCTGCGTATCGGTGGAGGCTGCAGGCGGTAGTGGTGTAGGCTGCTGCTGCAGCACTGATTACTGCAACGGGGCTGGCTCGCTGGGCGTGATGTCCACCCTGGCCACTGCAGTAGTGGGCCTTGTGGCCATGGTCATTGCTAGGTATTAAGGGCAAGACAGATGGGAATGATGCCACGATAGCTGAGACCTTAATCATTTGTAGTGCTGTGACAATGTGTAGTGTTCTGTTATCCGTCGAAGTCTTTCAGTTACGAGCAAGGACAATGCAGAGGGCGCCCGTTTTTGCACACAACCTAAATATGTAAAGGCCAATTTACAGGCCTACTTCACGCGAACGCGGAAATGCAGCCCATTTAGTGCCACGAAACTTTTTTTGTAAGAAATTTGCTCCAGCCGTTAAGCGTTCAACTTTTGCGAATTTGCAGTACAAATATTTGATTGAATGTCACAATGTCGCCGCACTTGCTGCTGCTTGAAGTGAGCACTGGCTTTTAAGTGACGGAAATACACTCATTTATCTGAGATGTTGTGCTATACACTTATTGTTTCGGCGACTAAAACATTCATCCACAATAACTGTGATCCCATCCACACTTACCTGTTTTCGTCAGCACATTAACGAGTGCACGACCTGCAAAAGGTTTGGTGTAAACCTTATCGTTCTAAGTATCCGAGTAAGTATCTATGGCATGGCATGCAGCATTAAAAGAAGGTCTGCAGGTTTCGCAGTCTCATCAAATCGTTTTTCAAAATGGTCGAACCAACAAACAAGCACGTTACGGGCCTAACGATCCTCTAGGTTGAAGCCTTCCGAATCATGTTGTGTAATGTTCTCAATGAATAATCTTTGAAGTGACTTCTCTTGAAAAATTAGTGTGACACCGTCAGAAAGGAACTTATAATCAAACAAGTAGAAAATTCTAAGAGTTGGGACTGAGTAAATACACTATGAAGTCTTGAATGCTTGTAACTAGCATTAAAATGGGTCTGAAATACATGATGTAACTATTTCCAGACTATTATTGGGATGCTTGGGAACAGCTTTTGTAATCATAAAATGCTAAAGATATGCATAATGAAAAAGAGGCCTTGCAACTAGTAAAGGATAACAGAAATGCGACTTCAACGCAGGTCTAAATTTGGAGGACTTACATCGAACCTCATGAAGTTTTGATGGGAACAAGTTTGCTCATTCTATAGCAAACGCGGGAAAACAGTCTTACAAGTCCGTTCTGTCTGAATCAACTTTCAATTATTCTGTAATATTGTAAAACCATGATGTCTCTCATGATGTTGTACTCAAGATAAAAACGTCAGTTACGCATGAATAAATGAAGACCAAGAAAAAGTCTTTCGTTATCCTTTGAATTTGTTTGAACTTTATTGTGAGTGTGTGCCAATAGAGATTGAGAAGCCAAAGCACATTTTTCAAAACGAATTCTGTGAAGTATCTTACCACTTGTTGGTGTTATCGTTGAGAGCGTTACAACACGAAAAGGGGCTTGGTTTACACAAGTGGAGGAATGATAGGACGCTATGGCTTGAAACCAAGTGACCGTGAAGGGGGGGGGTTGGCTTTTCTTACACTTGGGCACTGTTTATACTTTACTCACGGACATAATATTAGAGCCCCAGTTAAGTAGTCTTTCTGCTGGGAATAAATACATAGGCCTACTCGTGTAATTAATCCTATTGGCCATCCAGCCCCCAAAAAGCCGACTGGATGGGGCATATTTCCGATACCTCGCGCTCGACACCTCACTCTCACGCCGACAAAAACACGTACACATAATTTTGGTTAAACAGACGGGGTGTGAACAGCGCCACCAATCATGGAAAAGATGTCAACGTCGCGACGTTGACATCTTTTCCATCGCGACGGTATAATACACCTACGCGTCGGTGTATCATACCGTCGCGATGTACAGCTATGCTGTTGCTCGCTACCCGCCGCCCTCATAGGGCGCGGGGAAAGGGCAAATCGTGATGTAATTTTGGGAGCCCTCAATAGGACAGCATTCATTTGAAACAGTACCGAGGACCAATTTACATTTCCACTTACGCATGAGACGTGCGCACCGTAAATACAAGCGTTGATCAGGACGACAATCATAACCCACGATACTCAATGACGAGCGTCCACTCCTGTGCCACATGAGATCAATGGTGATTAGCAATCGTGCTCTCTGAACTGCGCCCCTACTGTCGGATGATTACCATTCCCCACAGCCTCCATTTAAATTTACCCACTTCAATAGCGCTCTATACATCTACCCAGGTATGTTCCAACTTGCCAGCTGCGCATGCTAGGCAAACATGGCTGCCCTTTCTGAGCTGCATAGCGGAATCGGTTTTTTTTTCATATTAAATCAAGTCACAACAGTTAGATATCATGAGAATCTTTTACTTTGATTTGAGCATTCGGCGACTTGGGCCATATTCTGATGTAAGTCCTGCACACATATTTACCTGTGACTAATGATTCTTGGTCACGTAATTAATTGTAACGTCCCCCGAGTGGGTCTGGTGTCGCATTTGGTAGGCCTACCCGGCTCACTGAAAGAAACTCCCATGAACTCTCGTCCTCAAACAGTATGGCCTACTCTCACAAAGGACACTGAGGGCACAAGCCTCTAACTTGGAACTACATGTGTTCCATTTCGAACAATAAATGAGTTATGATGTAAATCGTTACTCACTCTCTCTCCAAGGCCTGCGTGAGTTGCCTCGTGTTTCTATGCTAGCTCCAAGCGCCCAATCCAAGGAGCAAATGCGACACAACATAAATCCTGAGTTTCCTCGTTTCCGCGCCGTGTCCAACTGTGACTGTGTTTTTCGCAATCGCCGCGCCACCTCCTATCTTGGCCAGAGAAACCATGAACCTTGTGTTCTTCTGATTTGCATGTGAAGACAGGCTCGGGCGCTGCGCCAACTCTACAGACCTTTCCACCCACCTGTCTGGATTGCGCCAAATGTAAACAATACGTCCACCACGTTGGACCGCCTTGGCCACAGTGATTCGCATAACTCCTACCGCCAGCTTCATCCACGTGCAAGCGGACGTGCGAGCGCTGCATGCTTGACTATAGATTATCCTGAGTAAGTGAATTACCATCACAACACTATGCACTCATCACCATCAAAATACATGGCGGTCCAGCTGGATTGTGACATCACAGGAAAAAACTCTAACGTCTTGTCCCAAAACTGACTTTACTGTTTCGGCTGGTACATCGCGCATGCAGGCGTCACGCGCTGGCGAGCACAGCCGAATAGAACTACCGGCAGAAGGCTCTACATTCACAAGAGACGAACTGGGGCCGTTTTGCGTTTTCCAATACCCAATTCGGCTCCGTCTCAACTGTTTTTTTTTACTACCTGACTTTGAAGCTGTAAACGTAGTAATTAGTCTAATAGTGCCACAAAACATCAAATAAGATGCAAGAGAACCAAAACTTACACTAGTCCAATGTAATTTAAACGCTTCAGGCCCACAATCGGGGATTGGTTTTGGGAGCGAAGCCTGAGACGGAGACGAAGTTGAGTATTGGAAAACAGCTTAGTTTTCTGGCAGTTCGTCTCACAGAGACCTCCAGTCTTGCGCGTATAACCGTGATTTTGAAAAGGGTGGGCCATTGATTTCCGTCTTTAAAATAGAGATCAATGGTAGGGGCAAACAATGGGTGCGTTC